GCAATATAAAATTTTTTAAGATGTCTCTAAATAGAAAAATATTGATATATTGCCAAAGCATTGATTATATGATTGTGCCATTCATCTTCAAGAAAGAACTCAACTACTATTTGATCCAATCTATAAACTATGACAAAATAAACTTTTGGTATTGAAGAATTATATCAATAAAAAACTTGCAATTTTTTTTATTTGGCATTTCAAATCTCTAATACAAGTACTAATACTTTTTTTGATGAAAAAAATAGATCTTTGCAAATGTATCTTGATTATTACGGCCTCAATAATATAACAATGAAGAGTCATTATCCATTATTGTTGATATCAAGGCTTTTGGAGAAATTCAATTAAGGTCTATATCAAAATAGATCTCTATGGAGCATACAATTTGGTTTACATTAAAGAAAGAGATAATTAGAAAATAACATTTCAAACAATGTATGGACATTTTGAATATAATGTCATTCTTTTTAGATTGACAAATGTACCAGTTATATTCCAACATTTCATGAATGTTATTTTTTGAAAATTCCTAGATAAGTTTGTTCTCTACTATCTTTATGATATCTTAATTTATTTTAAGATTTAAAAAAAATATTAAGAATATGTAAAATTAATCTTATAAAAGTTACAAGATACAAGATTATATGCCAAGTTGAAGAAATATATGTTCCATTAGCCAAAATTAGAATTTCTTGGATATATTATATCCAATGAAGGCTTGTTAATAGATTCAAAGAAAGTTCAAGCTATAACAGAGTAAATAACTTCAAAGATAGTATAAAATGTACAATATTTTTTTAGTTTTACTAAATTTTATCAAATATTTATCAAGAATTATTCCCAAGTTGTTGCTCTTTTGACTTGGTCGGCATCTAAAGACAAATTTGAATAGCTATAGAAATCAATTATGAGATTTATAATAAAGAGCTTTTTGCAATTGTAGACACTTTGCAAGCTTGACATCATTTGCTAGAAGGCAGTATACATCTTGTGAGTATATGTATAGATCATAGAGACTTTGAATATTGCATGTTAGTTTGGATTTTGAATCATTGCCAAGCTTATTGAAATATGTCATTATCTTATTTTGATTTTGTAATTATATATCAATTAAGGAAGTAATAAAAACTATCAGATATTTTATTAAAGAGATCATATCTTATTCTAAAGGTTGAAGAAGTAACATTTAATCAGCAATATATCACTATTTTGAAGCAAGAATAGTTTTGTATTTATACTACTTCTATGATTATACTTGTCAATTCAATTTTTTTTGAACAAATTTGTGCAGCATCAATTAAAGACTCATTAATTTGTAATATCAAGTAATATCTTAATAATGATAAGTTTAAGTTTGTAGAAGATCTTTTGTATTGTAAAGATTATTTATATATTCTAAAAAGATTGATTCAATTTTGTATTCTTTAATCTTATCATAATTTTTTAACTACAGGATATTTTGGATTTAACAAAACATTGGAACTTATCCTTTAAGATTTTTAGTGGCTTCAAATGTAGAAGATTATAAAAAACTTTGTTCTCTCATGTAACATCTGTTCAAGATTAAAGAATTCTTATCATCACCCTTTTAAACTTCTACATCCACTACTAATTCTAAAGTAATCATAGTCTTTAGTATCAATAGATTTCATCATTGATCTACTGCCATTAGCTACATTTGATATCATCTATATTATTATAGATTGATTTATAAAGAATGAACAATTTATCATATGCAAAAAAATAATTTTTGAAGGAGAAATAACAAGATTCTTTCTTAACAATATATATTAATATTATGGACTATCTAATGGCATCATTTTTAATTAAAGACCTTAATTTATATCAAAGTTTTAGAAATTATTTTTTGAGATATTAAAAATGGATATGAAACTTTTTTCTACCTTCTACCCTTAAATTTTTGATCAAATAGAACAAATCAATCACGTTTTGGAGCAATATTTGCGATGTACCATCAACTATCAACAAGATGATTAGACTTCATATTTATCTTTAGTAGATTTTGCTTATAATAATATTCTTCATGCTCTGATTTAAAAAATACTATTTTATACCAATTATAGTTACCATCCATAGCTTAATATGTTAGATATATCAAAGGATGAAAACCTAGCAATTGAAGATCTTACAAAATAATTCTCACAACTCCAATCAACTTTAAAGCCTTATTTATAAGCAGCTGAAGATTCTTACAGAGCATCTTCAAATGAATTTTAAAAAGTATCTCTTACTTTTCAAGTTGGAGATAAAATATGACTTTTTTGACAAGATATTAGGATTAATTGGCCTTACAATTAGTTGGATTACTAAAGACTAGGGCCATTTTGTATTCAAAAGCAAATCAATCTAATGGCTTATTGGTTGGAACTACCAACATCTATAAAGGTACATCTATTCTTTTATGTTTTTCTCTTAGAGGTTTATTTAGAATCAATTATTTTAGGAAGAATATAGCCATCACCTCCTTACATTGAAATACATAATCATGTGAACCATGAAGTGGAAAAGGTCCTTGATTCTTGGTGAAGAAGAGATAAGTTGGAGTATTTTATTTATTTATATAGCTATGATATCAATGAGCATATGAAGGAATCAATAAAAAAATTAATTAATACACCACAAAAGGACAAGAGTTTCACTGATGCTATTCTCACAAATCTAAATCTATTTTAGAATGTTTTTTTTATGAAGCTATTGCTAGAATGTTGTATATAATAAAGAAAACAGGTATTGCTCACAATATCCTCTAAATTTACAATATCCAGTTTATAATCTAATATATTGAATTGGAGAGTATTTAAAGAGTCTCTAGTTCATTAATCACAAAGTAAAGCCAAAGTGGGAGCTTTCTATATTACTACTACAAGATCAATCATTCTAGCTCTTGTAACATTTGCAAGATCATCTTTGAGATGAAGTTGTACCTTCTCAAAGAAAAAAACACCCATGCTACAATCAACTCAAATAAGAAAACCTTAAAGATGATGCTTGAGCTTTGGTTATTTTATTGTAGATATGAAACCAATGTTCCTTGTGGAACTCAAAGTTAAAAGAAGAGGTGATATAATAGACATTGAACAAGAAGCTTTTTAAAACATTTTTAGAATATTCTATTAGGTTTTAGAAGGTTCTAAAAGATTTTAAAAATATTTCAATAGAATATTCTTAAAATATTCTTAAAATTTTAAAAAAGATTCTTAGAATATTCTAATAAATTTTAGAAAGTTCTACAAAGATTAAGAAAGTTCTAGGAAGATTAAGAAGGTTATCCAAGAAGCTTTTTAGAGTTGCTTTGTCTACAAGCAATATGAAAACTTCTCTAGAAGCTTTTTAGGGTTGCTTCATCTTCAAGCAACATGGAAACTTCTTGAGAAGCTTTCTAGGATTATTTTGTCTTCAAGCAATATAGAAACTTCTTGAGAAACTTCTTAATATATAGTATATATTGGAGTCAAGGCTAAGAAGATCCTCAATCTTGACTACACATTTCTTGAAGCTCTAGCTCACTTCTTTTAGTATTGATCTTATATCCATCTGGTTTAATCAAGTTTTTGATAGCTTTCTTATTATATAGTATTTGTTTGTAATTTAAAACTGATTTATATACAAGAGTTTTAAATATGAATAAAAGAATATTATACAACCTTAATTTTAGTGGTTTTGTAATTGACATGAGATTTTTTTTTTTTTTTTTTTTTTTAAATTCAAAATATTTCAAATATATATAAAATAAAAAATTTCATAATTTTAAGTTGATGGTTTAATATTTTATATATTTATAAATGTGAATTAACAATCATACTTAAATTTCAATTATTTTTTTTATATTAAAATTCCAAAATTATTTAATGCACTAATTTAAATTCATTTTGATTTAAAGCCATTAGTGTAGATATAATATTTTTACATATATTTATGTCAAGAAACAATTTAATCTGTGTATAAATGGTTTTTCTTACAATGCAAATTTGCTCTAACAGAATGTTTGAATAACATATGTTTAAACTTTATGTGCTATTAGAATTTTGCACATATACATGTGTACACATAAAATAAATAATAACAGTATATGAATTTGACGTTTAGAAAAGAAAAAAAAGCAACTAAGTATGTAAAATACTCACATTTTTTTATTTTTAGAAAATGTCAAGAAAGTTTGAACAATATTTGAGAATTTTGTGTAGAATTATGATAAAGTGATTATAACTTAATCTAGAAATAGTTTATTTTGAAAAAACTTCGTGTTTTTACTACTTGCAATTCGACTTTACAAATATATGTGTATGTACTAATATATATATATATATATATATAGAATGGAGTAGTCATGACAATTGGTGCACATTCAAACAAAAGAAAGTGATCGCAACCTGCAATTAGGTGTGAAGAAATAGATATGAGATGAATGAGTCCAGTTTCCTTCACATAGAAAACGCACCTTCTCAGGAACTTTCAGAAACACTAACTATCTTCAAATAAAAAATTACATGGATGAAAACGGCACAACCATTTTCGAGCAAGGTTTACCATGCAATCGCTGCGGTCGCGGAGAAGTTTATCAACGGAGGTGGAACTACTGCGAATGACCGCAGAGCCTTCGATAAGAGAAAAAAAAAACTACAGCCAGAGAGCAAAGCTAGGACTAGCTCGGGGACGAAAAGCCTGGACCCCCACCCCCGCCGCCCGGTCCCACCATGATGGCCAAGCATGCGTTCGAGGCCGGGGCCGTGCATCCCGAGAGCAGGGCTGGGCGACCCGGTAACCCATGCCTGCGCCGGGGCTGCACGGCGGGAAAAGGCAGGGTAGGGTGAGGACGGGGAGGGGGAGGGAGCACCGAGGCAGGCGTGCGTGCATGGGTGGGCGGGGTCATCGGGTGGTCCTCCTGCTGGGTAGGGAACGGGGGGGGGGGGGGGGCTTTGATTATTCTGAGGTGTGACATCCATCCTCCCCCTCCTTGCTGTTGCTGCTGCTGCGGCGGCTGCTTGGCTGTGCCTGGCTTGGCTGGGCTGGGAATGGGCTGGGCGGAGTGTACCAAGAGCGGGATCGGTGCCCATAGTGGACAACGACGATGCATGCGGGGAAATCGTATGCATCGCCGCCTCTGGTGTCTGTTCACGCATTCCTTCCCCTTTTGCAGCTTGGGGGGGGGGGGGTGTGTGTGCTCACAACATATCTCCGCCTCCCAGACTCAGAGCATTCTTCTTCATTCTTCTGCATTCTTCTTCTCGAGTGATGAGTGAATGGGAGAGCCGGTGGTGGTCGCTACGAGTTGCAGGTGGGTAGAGAGCACTATACGACGGTATCGAGCTGTTGCGTCCGGCTGGCTGGCTGGCTGGACGTCGTCGTGTGTGGTCATGTGGCAAAGCACTGAGGCGAATGGTCGCAGTGGGTTGCTGGATGGTTCGGAGCTAGGCCGGGGAAAGATCCATCGCGGTTCCTCACCATGAACGCTTGATGATCCTGAAGCTGGTGCCGCTGGGAGTGGGGAATGGTTGTGGTTGGGCTCGGAGAGTTAATATTCCATGAGCGTGGATTTGTCGTTGTGGTAAGTGCTGGGAGTTCCTCCCCGACCCACCCTCCGGGCGGAGTTCACGACGTGTGTGGTGGGGCGCGGTCGAGTATTGACGTTCCTGAGCACCAATTTGAGCTGGTGATGCGAGTAGTCTAGAGTGTGAGTGAGTAGATCCTTGGTTTGGTTTGGCGGAGAGATGGAGGATGGAGCATTTGGTGATGGATGTGAGGGTGCGAGTGGGAGACTTGTTGATGAGATTGTAGTTCTGGGAAAATGAATTCGTCGGGTGCGCAGGTAGCGGTAGTGCGGGGGACAGCGGCTTTGGAGGAAGCGCAGGAGAATCATCAGGTAAATGTGGCGACGGCAGTGACGGTGTAGGAGGAGGAGGAGAAGAAGAAGCTGCTTTGGGAGCGGGGTTGTTGAGATGTCGACGTCATGAGTGTTACAGGTGAAGTACCACGTCAACACTGAACTTGACAATCTTGACATTACCCTGAGCTAGCTTTAGAACTAGTACCCACCGTGATAGTTACCTGTAGTTTTCCGTGGATCCCTTGATCGGTTTGGGAGGGAGGGACGTAGGAAGAGAAGGACCGGCTCTCAGGATAGAATTTTTGTTCCGTAGTTCTTAACAGGAAGTATCCTATATAATTTGGATGCATACCTCGATTCACTGCACATTGGACATCGAGTACGTGAAGCGTGCAAGAGTGCAAGCGTGCAAGATCAATTTTGTCTTCGAGAGGACCTTTTATTTTTGAAGGACTTGGGGTCCGGGTTTAGAAGGTTTTTAGGAGCAAATGGTTAATGAGGTCGGAATTTTTGAATACCTGCAAGTAGAAACTTCGTAAAATATTCGTACTTCTTGGAGCGGTCAACTGATTGAATTTGCAGCCATGATGGGCGACGTGAAAGATACTAGAGTCGGTAGTTACCGAGGTGGATATGACCAAATGCCCCGCCATACTTATTTTAAATATTGATGAATTGAATTTGACGTTACGTACAGCATGGTTCTCGGGTATGAGTGGAAATTTTGGACACACAGAAGTACGAGCACAGAAAGCATTAATTTCCGGCTGACGTATTGATTGCAGGGAAGCGATCCACGAAAGGGAGCGCCAGATCGAAGTTAGTCGATATTAGGACTCAGTAGTGGTCGAGCAGACACTGATCTGGATGTATTTCCCAGTTAAATTAGGGAACGCATGTCATGGTCAATAGCTTGTCTTGTGTTTGAGGTCAGTACAGGACGAAGCAGCTGATTGCGGAAGATGGTTGTATTTATATATTGGGTTTGATTTCAAATCTGGAATAAAATCTGTTATTCATCAGGATGACAGTATCATCTCTAGTTAGCAGGGGCGAGGTGCGAGTACACACGTCTTCAACACTCAGAAACCTTTTTCTTCAATGGTAGTGAGAAGAGGTGCCAGGGTATGATTTTGATTCCTGTGGATTAAAAAACGAGGGACTGTTTAGAAGAGATAATCTCGTCTTTGCTAGTGCGATGGCCGCCGCTGTTAACCATAACATTTAGCTAGTGTAGAAGAGTAAAACCCGCAGAGATATTTTTTCGACTCCCACAGCCAGGTCCTGCTAATGGGCAAGGCCATAAAGAAGAGGTTGCTCTTCAGGATAAACAAGTGTCTGCAGTAGGTTCAGTGTAGGAGGATAGCTCAATGTAGTGATTTAACTGAAGCAGTATTACGACGAGCGAAGTTTGAAGTCTGGATGTATCTGCTACCTTCGGGGAAGGTGGGGAAGAGGAAGAGCAACATCGTCTACTCTTTTGGGAAGCAGACCCAGCTGGAGAAGGTCAGCAGCAACTGATACCTGGCTACGAACGATCAGCCTCTGCCACCGAGCATCCAGGAAAAGTGGAAGGGCAATCCAAACGAGGGGGTGGTGAGGGAACATCCAAGGAGAGGAGAGTGCGTGCGCGAGCAAGTGATCCCTCCGGCAAGAAAAGTCCTCCAGAGGCCGAAAGAATCCGACCAGCCCGAGCTGCACGATCCTCTGGAGGGAAGGACCGACACAGCAAAGTTAACACAGCGAAAGGACCTAGGGATCGAAGAGTTCGGCTTTCAGTCCCCACTGCTGTACAATTCTACGATGTGCAAGACCGGCTCGGCTTCGACCAGCCCAGCAAAGCAGTGGAATGGCTGATCAAGAATGCCAAAGCCGCCATTGATGAGCTTGCACAGGTTCCGCCCATGCGACAGGAAGATCCTGCAGTCCCGGCCGAGCATCAACCCCAGACTACAAGCTCCACCGTCTCCACCTTCTCAGCCTGCCCCCCCGAGGTCCCCGCTGCCCCCTTGTTAGAATCCCCAGGCACATCTTATGGGACTTACGACAGTCATGGGCAGTCAGCAATGGTATCCCCCTTCGGCCACACTAGTCACGGAATGGAAACAGCCATGGAGCTTCACCATCAGCACCACCACCTCGGAGGCCATGGCGGCTACGGTCCGAATTTGGCACGAGAACAACAAGCTGGATTGTATTGGGGAGGAAGCATCAGCGACGTTCATTCAGGAGGGAGCTCCGGCGCTGCCCGCGTGGAGTCTCGAGCCAAAGCTCGAGAAAGAGCTCGGGAGCGAGCTAAGGAGAAACACATTTCCGAGAGGGATCCAGCTTCAGGAAGAATCCCTTCAACTTACGTTCCCCATCACGGACCATCATCCGCATCTGCAGGGGCGCAGCAGCATCCCCATCTCGCGGTGCAGGGTCAATCACTTTATTCGAATCTCCCATCGCAGGTGACCAGCGCGCTCCAGCATCCATTTCAAGCATCTCCTGCCTTCCAAGCTGGTATCAATCCACCCTTACGGCCACCTCCTCCCCCTGCTGCCCCTCCTTACAACGCACCCAGCTATAATTTACCTGAGGCTTTTTTTGCATATGGTGGGCATTACAATCCTACCTCTTACAACCAAGCCGAGCCACCCTTGCAGCAGCAGCAGCAAGGCCCATCGGTCTCCCATTATTTTGTGGAAAATCCTCTACCACCCAGCCGTTTCAGCATCGCCTCGCAGGGAAGCATTAGCACTAACTCTATGATGTTCTCTGGGCTAACTCATGTCCCTGCATCCTCTCTCCGAGCCAGCCCTTTCGGCAGCTTAATTAGCGAGCAGCAACCTCTCAATTATTCCAGCAGCAGCTTTCCATCCCCAACAGGGTATCAATTTCCACCCTCTTATGTGTCAAGTTCTCACCGGCCACCGCCGCCGTCCTCTTCCTCATTACTAGGTCCACCCCCCTTGGGCAGCAGCCTTCGTCTATCTCAAGGCACGATGGAGTACACCCACTCGAGAATTCGACTTGGACAAGGGCAAGCTCAGGGACATGGTCAGTTCGAGCACAGGAGCTACAACCAGGCACCTCATAGCTTAGACCCCAGCTTCTACACACCTCAGATACCTGCCAGATTACAGGGGCTTGAGGAGCTTGAAGAGGAGTTCAAGCCTTGAGCTTGAGGAGGAGCCTGGAAGAGGGCCTAGAGTTTTCGAACAGGATTCTCTGACCATGCCAGCAAGTGTACATCTTCAACCTCCCTTACTCGTTTGGAGATCCACTCATGAAAAGGGATTGTCGATTTACTGTCATTCAATAAAATCCCGTAGATTTTGCAGTTATAGAGCTGCTTTAATCAACCGATCGACCTCAAAGGATGGGTAGGGCGAGTGGGGAGGCATATTGGTGGCGACCCAGTGATATAAGCTGCTGCAATAAGACTGACCTCAGATTGTGGGAGAAGCAATAAACAAAATCCAAAAACGGCTGTCTACATTGGATGCGCAGGCATAGCATATTGTTTTCGGGACTCAATAAGCTCAATAATCTTGCCTCATGCATTGCATGCGAAGGAATCAATCCATGTACATACCCGCGTAGAGACTCATTGTAACATAGCAATTGATGCTGCTGGGGGAGGAGGATGATTTCCCATTTGGTGTATGTTTTTTTAAACATTCTTTCAGAGTGGCCAACCAGGCTTTTCGCATCGCCTGCAGGAGGTTCCGGCACTACAATTCGCAGAGCCAGGCCAGCCCAGCCCTTATCCCCCTTTCCATATTGTCTAGGTGCTTGTGACAAGTCACACCGCCGCGCCCGGTGGTGCCGTTACAGTCACTTCTGTAGTCCTTCTCTGATGCCTTTGCTTGAAGACCTCGGGGTGCAGAGAAGGATCTCTCCTGGGTTTCAACGAGTGGAGCTCCCCAGATGCTTCTAGCTGCCGCGTCTTCGACGAGATGGGCTTGGCGGCGTCGAGGAGGATTAGACTGTCCATGCTTTTTATGGCCACAAACTGCACATTCTGTTTCAATAAGATAAAATAAAATAAAATAAAAAAAACAAGCTGTGACATGAGCTATCATGGATGGATCAATGGTGAGAGGAGGTAAATGGATCCTAAGCTCACGACTCCGCCGAAGCCTGCCCGAATCATGCTTTCATACTGAGGCTTTAGGTGTTGCTAGAAAGCTCACAAATTGATAGGTCACCTAGAATTTCACTATCTGGATCAGAGCCCTTTTTTCTTCCCTTTCTTTTCTTTCTTCTGTTCTTTTTATTGTTTGCTAGCTTTCTTGTACATCACGTCATCGGCGCTGCGCTTTGAGCATTGGAAGAAAATCATTGTACGGTTACATGTTTTGTTGCATTCAGATTCTTTCTATGTTTTATTTGATATATCAATACGTATCTATTTAATCTCGGTTACTCAGATCAATCGACCTGGCGTATACGTTAGTACACATGAACTTGTACTGGTATTCATCTCATTCATCGGAACACATTTTCTTATACATATATATATATATATATATAATATTCTTATGAGGAAAATCGTTGATAATCAAATATATATACATACAAACCAAAATTACAGTTATTTCGAACCCAAGAAAGACAGTAGAAACCCAATATTCTAGATTTTGGGTTGTAACGTAATCATGCAACGCGAAAATGATTCGTACACAGATCATTTGCATATCTCAGCATGGTGGTCGCATTCCAGATACATGCATATAATGGAGTATATTTGTGTAGATATTTGCAAATATCAGACTGTGCAAGCTCGAACACATGCATAACAACACAACAGGATCAGGACCAACTTCCACCCCAGCCTTGCCTACAGAAAATGGATACCAGACATGCATTTTCAGGCATGAAGGTGAACGTTCGACAGGAAAATGGCCTTGAACATGATAACTAGTCAGAGTGGAAGCTCCATCCGCATGCCCATGTTGAAAATAGACTCGGCAACCGGCACTGGTAGGCGCTGATGAAAACTCCGGTTCACCTCTCCCGCACAGAAGTCCAAAGTTAATGAACTAGGCTTGATAGTATGACCGCGAAATCGAATCAGTGAAGCCAAAAAAAGCAAAGCATCTAGTGCAAGAACTAAGAAATATTTTCTAAAGGTCTCATCAAAAACGCAACCTGAAAACTGCTGCTGAAGTGCTTGCCATGCAATTCGTGCAGCTCCAGCTCGTGGCAACGTTGCCCTTGTTTCATTTTCCCCGTTACTTTCTTAATTTTTTTCGTTGCGTCTTCTAGCTGTGAGGCAGACGTCAGCAGCAACTCAAAAACGACCTCTTCTTTAAACCAGCAATATCTGTGTACATAAAAGGGAAAATTAACTTCCTGATTTTACCTTTGAACCACGCATAATAGGCATTTCTTTCACTTGCAATATGTTGGGTTGTCATGAACCATTCGTTATTGTATAGATCTGATTTTTATGAACCTTACATTTAGATAATTGATTTGGATAACATGAACTCACCGAACAGCAGATTTACATTCCACGTTATAGAACACAATAAACAGAGCTGCACCAGGGTAGGTTAGAACTCTAGAGGCACAGCCTTTAAACATCTCGGGTATCGTGTAAATCAGTGCACTGATATGGACTAACCATCAATTTGGCAGCAACGACCCCGAACAAGCTGCCAAAAGGTGTGGCAAAAAGAAGAGCCAGCTTCAAATCTGTCTCTATTAGTGGTACAAATTTGAAAGATGCTGGCATGGAACAAGACAACGAGCAGGAATAATTGAGGAACAGTCTCATGGATATGAACACAGCGATTTTCTCCCCATCACATGCATAATTTCCTCCAACTACCTTTACTATATGATTCTATTTTCAGAATTGCTGAATTTATTGAACCTTTTACAACATTCGTCCGTTAAAGTTCATAACGAAACCTATCGAACGTTGATTATTGTTAGAATCCAGATTCGGGCGACAGGTTCTGGCCATGAATCAAACTTAATCATTGCTCAAATGATCTCCGTACGAGCTCAAATTATTCATCTGATTTATGCCACCCGACCCCAAATGCTTTACAACAGACCGCTCTGCATTATGGTTTTTATGAAACCGTCCTCCTCAACGTCTTCAAGATAAACAGTTCGGCGAGCATTTTTTTTCATCACGTTTCAGTGATAATTAAAACCAATCATTTCGACAGTTCAAAAGCGACACATCAATATTCCAGACAATCTGAATGATAAATTGAGACACGAAGTTGCATAGTAGTCCAAAAACTGACCGAATCATGAACACTATTCCTGACTTCCAGTACAGTTATGGGGTGATGAAATCAGAAAACTGCTATCAAAGGTCCACAGACGCGGTGGTTATGAAGGAGGCAATGCACAAGCACAAGACGAAGGTTCGAAGCATGCAATTTGTGGGACCCAACAACGGCAAATGCATTACCAGATGGGAGAGACCATCATGCACTTCTTCTGGTGGTCTGAGTATGGGAAAACTCCTATTCAAGTCGCACACCCTCACAAAACATGCAAGAAGCATCTTCCTAAGCCATTGCAAAGCACCGAGAACCCAACACAAGGAGGCACACGAGTGGGAGTTCCACCTTATCCCCGAAGTTCCTGATGGACTTTTTTCTTCAAGTCCAGCATTTGGTAGGGCTTGAGCACCGAAACTCTACATGGAGGTTAGTCCAGCTACATGAGTTGGGCATCGCCAACCAACACCCAGCTGCTCATAGTCCCCAAAAACGGATATGCTTGGGCTCACTTTGCGGCTGGAAAACCTTCACAACCTGGATCCTTGCATGTTCCAATGAAGCATGAAAAACGCACGCATTTCTTCGCAATAAGTTCACAAACCACAATGTAAAAAAAATCTCCACAGGCAAATAGAATCACTCTTCTTATCAGCATTAGCACTGAGAGCAAACAGAGTGGGAAGCACATCCCCACAACCATTCAAATGCAGAGCAACACCATTCCAAATTCCCCCTCCAAAGCCAAATGCATTCTCCAGCCAATGTTGATACCCCGCCATCTTGTCAAGCAGATAATATCGATACTCCGACCTGACCCACTGGTCGGATAATAGCGGGTACTGGCGGGTATGCATAGCTGGGAGGGTTGTCGTTCGGTATTTTCGTTTGTATGTATACAAAGTCACTTCAGTTTGTGATGATTTGAATATGAGTGACTTTTTAATAAAAACACTTGTATTCATAAAAATATGACAGATGTTAAATATCAAATTCAATGAAAATTTTGGTTTTTAGTGTCTTTTGTAAGTTTGTACATATCAAATGTAAGAAGTGCTTCCAAAACTTATAAATTTATCAATAGAAATTTTTGAACCTTTAACTTATCAATACTTTTCACAATCACAATTATTATAAAAAAATAATGGTATTTTTTTAAAAAAAATTATAAATTAGATATACAAAAAAAGACACATAAAATACCATATATTAAATATATAACAATACACACAAACTTATATATTAAATTATTTTATTTTTATTCAATTTTGAAAAATTCCTCAAATATTGGATGTTGGAAGGTAAATCTATATTTCAATTTAAAAAATATTAAATATTAAATTTTTATTATAAATAATAGTATTTTTTATTAAATTTTTTAATAGAAATAAACATACATTTCTTACTTTAATTTAAAACACATTATTGCTTTATTATTTATTATTTTATAAAATATCAGATTTAGCATTTAAAATAAATTAAAATAAATAATATAATTTTTATATAAATAATTTTACTACTAAATAATTATATTGTATTCACAAATGTAACTATCTTGCATACACAAAAACACCACTATCTTTGATATATACATATATATATATATATATATATAGAAATATATTTGTCTATAGTACAACATCAATGAAGTTCCAAAGTAATAGAAAAATTGTTTTGTATGTTGCTTCCTTTGGAATTGCAGCACAATTTTTAAATGGTGGATGGATTGCACATTCTATGTTTAAAATTTTGCTCTATTTTAATAAACATTTTTTTTGCAATATTGCAAAGAAGGCAAATTTGTTAAGAAAGACAATTCTTATCATTTGGGATGAGGTACTAATGCAACATTGCCATTCTGCTTAGGCAATGGGTAGAATTGTCTAAAACATAAATAGCACTAATAAGTTATTTGATGGAATTGTTACAGTCTTTGGTGCAAATTTTGGCAAATTCTTCATGTTATTCTTTAATGCTCAAGAAAAGAGATTGTTGATGTTTCTTTGCAACATTCAAATACCTAGTGTAATATTAAAGTATACAAGTTGACCAAAAATATGTGGCTAGAAGGTGTATTTGATAAGAATCAATTATTTGCTGAAGAGTTCTTGAAGGTATTTATTATATAAGACTATTACTTTTGAAGGTTTTTTTTATGATACAATATTTATATTTAGTATAAATAATAATAATTTTTATTTGCAAATTGGAAATAGATCAATAATTGCAGATCCATTGCAAAATACAATGATTCTTCCAAAACATATAAAAGTAGGTCCAACATCAAATGATTTGATTCAAGCTGTTTATTTGGTATTGGATGATGATGAGACACTTAGAGACGAAAATTTCGTCAATAAATCTATTTTATTTGTTTAATATTATGATGTTGATGATTTAAACAAGCATGCTATATAGAGATTTCCTGGAGTTTTTTTTATGTTTAACTCATCACAAAAGTAGCAATTATAAAAGATGGTTGTGATAATGATAATTATCATCCAACCAAATATATGCTAATAATGATAATTATCAACCATATAGATCGGAACTCAAGATTGGATTGCCTATTATATTGTAACAAAATGTTGCTCTGCATCAAGGACTTTGCAATAGATCACACTTGGTCATTATTTAGCTGACTGATCAAGTTATAGAGTCAAGACTTTTATCTAAAGACTACAAGAGACAATTAATATTTCTTCTAAAGATTATATTATGCCTATTATTTGTAAAGATTTTATTCAAGTTGTAATATAGGCAATTTCTAATAAAAGTGGGATTTGCAATAACCATTAACAAATCTCAAGGATGATTGTTGAATAAACAAAGAGATCTTAGACTCCCTATGTTTATTGATAGACAATTGTATGTTGCCCTTTTACAATGCACTTTTCCTAATATTATCAAGTTCCTATATCCTGAAAATAATGAAGACAAAAATGCTACCATAAATTTAGATTATCTTGAAGTTCTTTTAACTTAATTATTTTAATTGTTGTTTACATGGAATATGACAAATTACATTTCTTAATTAAAATGAAGAAACATCAATGGTTCCATTGTTATCCATATATATATATATATATATTTTGTCTTTTTTATTAGTCAATATTTTTTAGAAGTGGTCAATTTGTGACATAGCAACCATAAATGAAGATTTTACAACTTTTTTGTGGCCAATGGCATGGATTTCCACCAATTAATATATATATATATATATATATATATATGTATATACACTATTACATTTGTGTATCTCTTGTCATAAGCTTTTGGAAATAATATTAAGATACACAACTAAACATGCTTGTTTTGGAATTCAACCTTGATTATATTCAAAAGAAATTAAACATTTTGGAAATAATATTAAGATACAAAACTAAACATGCTTATTTTGAAATTCAACCTTGATCATGTTCAAAAGAAATTAAACATTGTAAAAGCATAATGCTACACAAACACAAGAAAATGATTTTACTTGATTTTTAATTCCTCATTGCAAAGTGAGAGGCCCTGGGCACCTACTAATTCATATATATATATATATATATATATATAAACATTTATTTATTTTATTTGGATTGGTAGTATTATCCATGCAAAAGTGCACATGGCAATGGCATCGAACAAGTGCAAGCTCTAGTGTTGTTGCATTGCGAAGAGGACAAAGGGGATGGACGAGGTTTTGTCGACGGAGGCAGCGGTTATTATGGTTATGAGCTAGCTTCCTACAGCCACCGCCATAGCCAGAGCTTCGTCTCATCGCCATCGCCCTTGCCTTCACTCCATTTTCCATGTCCGATGCTGCAACCACGTTGCCTCTCTTTCTCCTTCTTCTTTTTCGTGTTCCGCATGTTTGGAAAATGCAGTCGTCCTGTAGGTATTAGGGGAGTCCTCCACTTCAGGCCTTGGTTGATGATGGTTCCTGGATCACTGCTCATTTTTGGAGCAGCAGCTGCTCACCGTTCATGCAGACTTGGAAACAGTATTTGGTTGAAGATCTTGAGAAAGCAGGAGACGAGGAAATAATTTGTTTTGGACGGTGTGCGTTTGTGATTCACTGAGATGGCAGGCGAGTACACGCGGGAGATAGAGAGTATTGAGGAGAATAAGAAGAAAGGATGGATGATGACGGGGAAGAATTTGATCCAGAGACGCACGACCAAGCAGCTCATCGAGGATGCGCTTCTCACGCGCTTCCATGTCCAGGAAGAGCGCCAGGTTTTTTTGTCCTCGAGAATTGCTGTGAGCCTGTTGTGATTTGTAGTTGGTAATGAGGCACCAGTTCGTAGTATCTGTCTTCCATGTCAGCCATTGTCGAATTGTAATGGTTCACGTCTGGTATCTAGCGTGATGAAGATGACCTAAATTCTATGATTCATGAAGAAGTGAAGAAATTTTTTCCTCTGCTCAGGTCAAATTTGTCCTAACTAGCGAAGTTTTGTGCATTATCAAACTTCCATGTGTTGTAGCAGGTTATTCAGGTGGCTGCTTCATTCTCAAGTGAAGATTGTTTCCCCTTGCTCGTATTCACCCAAATTGAGTGTTTTAACGTCTTGCCACACGACTTTTGCAGGAAAAGAATCGGAGGGAGTTTGTCGCCAAGAAAGTGCAAGAGCTGCTAATTTTGCGACGGCAACAGCGAGACTTCATCTTCGAGGCATGTGCTGGAGTCTTTCAGGATATCAGTGTTCTTTCTTTTTTGTTGCAAAAACCAAGATTCACTCTACTTCTACTAGCACAATCTGATCATCTGAATACGTGAGAAAATTGCCGTTGTACTTGATACCTGTGCAATTTATTCTCGATGATGAGTATCTTTAAAAGTTTATCGTCAACTGTTTAGAATGGTACCATTTTTGAGCTTCATAACCTTGGCAAAGATTTCAGCAGATGCTTATCCTTATTCCATAATTGCACCTAATCGTGCAGAAATTCCATGCTTCAATGCACGCAACAAAACTGAAGGAGCAGTATGCTTCTGCCATGCAACGGGCTCTGCGGGTATGAAGATGAGACCTTTTTGTGCAATTCTTGAAGAAACAGTCTTTTGCTTTGACATGTTCAATGTATACTCACAATCTGCCGTAAGGGGATGAGTGCAGGCTTCGTGGCACAACATTCTGGGTCTGGAGTTTATTCGTGAACAGAAAGAGGACAAGGTGCGCATGAGTATGGTTGCTCTTCCAGCTTTGCTATGATGCACAACACGCTAGCACGCGCTCAAACTTTTTAAAAGAGCTTATTTTTAACGCAGGACAGCGAGGTCGCAACGCATTTTAATAAATACCAGAGTGAGGAAGCAGCAAAGGACATTGCAGAGTTTGAAACTAAGACTGGCTTTGAACTTGGAGCAGAAGTAGCTTCTGCCCCTCCATCAGGGGGCAAGAAACCACCACCAAACCAAACGCCGAAGAAGAAAATGAGTAAAACTGTTCAACCTGTTGAAGAGCCCCCTTTCAAACTCGATCCTAAATCTCTGGAAGAGAAGCGAAAAACTGAGGAGAAGGTATCTTCGTTTAACTTGGTTTTGATTTCGACGGTAGTGAGCAGCCTTCAATTGCTTAAGAACCTTGAACATAAAGAGGTTCACAAGGTCTATGCATCTTTTGCTTAGATGGGAGGCCTTGTCTTGCTATAATTGCATGCCATTGCTAATGCAAACCTTGATTAATTTGATGTACGCAATCCTGGAGCATCTACTCACTGATCTTGTAGAGTAACTTGGATAACGACATACCTTTATAGAATTAGTGGTAATCATCAAGTTTTGTTAAGCTTCAAATTTAAGTTTCGTTCTTCTCAAGAGGAGATGAACCTATCCGAGTCCATTGTCATTCAATCAATCTTCGTTGAAGTATTTTGGGCAACTTGGAGGTATCTGGATTGAGTTTTTCTGCTTGAAAATACTGTTTGCAGGCAGCCATGGCCTTAATATTGGAAATCAAAAACCGAAAATTTGAAGAATTCGCTTATAAGTTGGAAGCACTAAAACAATTAAAACATGTAAGTTCTATTTTTGTGTAGCTTCACCATGTACAAATGTTTTAAGTTACTGACTCGTGATACATTCTCATCAGGGTTTTGATTAATGGTGAGGTTGAACAGGAGGAACTTGAGGCACAGGAAGGACAACGCATGATAGATGAAGAAGAATCCATGAGGTACGCTGAAGAGTATGCTACTGTTCGGGCAGCTCAAGAGGCAGAAGAGGCGGAGAAGCAGCATTTGCTCAAGGAACAGGAAATGGTGGCACAGGATACATGGCTTGCTCAACATCAAGAGCTTGAGAAGAAAAATCTGGCAGATCTTGCTGTGATACGAACTCAGGAACATGAATTATGTATGATGTATTTCAACGACAAAGCTGATGAAATCAATGAAGAATACAATCGATGGAGGGTAAATTTATCTGCTAAACTAGTTCTAACTTTCATCCTATATGTTAATCTGAAGTGTGTAAGTAGCTTAGACTTGAACTGAAGCCAGGAAAGTGCAATGTTAGCTGATATCACTAAAGTCTTGGTTATCCATTTGGATCACACTACTGGATGACTTTAATTGTGGGTTTCGTACTTAGGACACCTAGGTTTTAATTTTTATTTTCAGACTTTGCAATATTTGATGATTATGATGCTTGCAGGTGGACATTCAAGCGAAGCGTGAAAAGAGGTTGCAGAAACACAGCGACTTCTGTTTTGACATAGTTCTCCAGGTCCTCAATCTTCGTGCATGTTCTTACGTTGACGTCAACTGTTGCTACCGAATTTGAGCTTTGTCGGAGTAGAAGTTTGCGAAATTTGGAAATTTAACTAATTTTTTCTCCTAAGTTGTTGATCTCTTGGTAAATGTATCAAAGGGAGTGTACCTGGAAGGCTGTAGGTTTCCTTCCGCTTGAATTACCTCAGTTGAGCTGCTAATTTGGAGTGGTAAATAAATTACGAAGAACGAAAACAGTGCATTGACCTTAGTGTCTTCGTCTATCTAAACGTTCTTGGTCTCTATCCTTGCTTGAATCTCCATCTGCTTCCATGATCTCACTATTCCTACTCTATAATTGGGTTATGATCGTGTGGATGGGATCTTTTTTATATTATATTATATTATTTTATTTTAAATCTAGTAGTGTGCATAAATGTTGCTATACAGTTCTTACTTAATCTTCTATAACTCGAACAATGGTTGCACAGTGGGTTAGTATGGCAGAATGTATTAACGAATACCGGCTTGAGATCGGTAAGCGCTTGCCCGCTCATGAGTGGAGAGAATGGAAGAACTTATTCATCAAAGGAGCTATCCTCCCAGTAGTTTTACCACGTCCTCCAACACCAGCCGAGCCTCCCAGTGAAAAAGAACTGAGGCTTGCCAAGGTTGTACTCTGCTACGTACTTCAACTCCATCTCCTCACTTATCACATGAAACTTATTCCATGCATTATCGTAACTCTGCAGTTTTTTACGGTCATTTACAGTTGAAAACTCATTCTAATAGCACGTTCTTAACTTATTACCGATGGGCAGTTATTTTGGATCTGCCTAAATTACGTTATCTTCGGTAGTCTGCCCCTCTTTTTCTGACCCATAATCTTAGCCACATATTAGGAGGTGATTTTCATTCGACACAGTTCAACGACACTAAATATGTCAACAATCCCTTTCTCCATGTTCCTTTAAAGATCAGCTCATGAGGTGCTTGGGCGATTGGCATTCCCATTTGGAGCATCGTGGGGATGAGACCCTCTTCCTTGAATTATCTTCATGTTATTGAACTGTTTCCTTGAATTTGTAGGAAGAGTTGGAAGCGTATCTGCAAGAGAAAGGAGACTATGCAAATGCAGAGGGAATAGAACCTATTGGCAAAAATAAAGAGTTAGGAAAGTTCTTGGTAGACATTGATTGCATGGCTGAGAGCCTAGCTGAGCCATTCAAACGCCCTGACCTATCAAAGTCCAGTCTCATGATTTCTGTTGTAGGGGTTCCACATGCAGGTATTCTTGCATTACTTTACATTTTTCTTAAGGCTAAAATCTGTTTCCTGCTAGATCATGACCGTGGTCTTGATTACACATTACTAGCTTTGTTATTACGTATCTTGATTAAGAAGATCAATTTTAGCTCTCAGCATGGAGGTGCTGCTAAATAAGAGACCACGTGGCTGATGGTTAGGGAAGACAAGCGTAGCACATCATTTGGAAGTTTCGTATGGTATTCTGCTGATTGAATGGAAGAAGGTGCAAGATTTGGCTATAAATTATGCAATAGCTGGTCCGTTCTTTCCCTTTCAGTATTTTGTGTTACAATCATAATTCAGAAGAATTGGTACTGCTGACGTTCTATGCCAAATTCTCTGATGAAAGTCATAAATAAGTTCGCCAATTACAGTGGTTCCTCACCAAGCCTCGCTTTTCCTTTTCCTTTACCTTCCTTTCATTGTTTCTGTAGAGGAAGAAAGAATCAAAGCTGAATTGGCTGCTCAACCTCCACCTGATTGGAGTGAAGGAGAGAAAGAAGGTGAAATCAAAGTTTCGCCAGACAAGTTATCAGAAAAAGCACGGTTGGGGTTACAAGTCAAAAGTGCCATAGAGAACAACTCTCATGTATGCAGTCTAGTCTTGGGTCATGACCTATTTGCATGATACAGTAGAGAAGAAATTACTATACCGGTTCGGTGTTATGAGTCTTGGCATAAAAAATGATCATCTAATACTAATTGACTTCATATGGGTATTTGTTTACAGGTGCCAGATGACGTGATAACTCGTTTGATGTTTTTGACAATGCTTCATCCCGAGGAGTATGGTATGTTCTTGAATCTGCAAGAAAATCATTGAGCTATCCACTTACTGCTGAAGTGATGCACATTCAAATGAAGCAAAGGACGTAGTTGAAACTTCTCAAGCAACCTACAATCATATTATATTGAAATTTTATGTGGTTTGCGTGATTCGAGCAGTACCACTTGTCGCACCAGCCCCAGCTGCCGCCGCCCCTTCAGCGAAAAAGAAGTCCAGTTGAGCGTCTCAATATGTCATTTGGAACCAATTCCACTTGTTTTGAAATATAGCTTGGTAATACATATGCCAAGCCCAATTAACAGGCGTATTATGAAGAGTTTTACATTTTAACTAAGAATTAATTGGAGTTTCCAAACTCTCTAAATCCTTACAGTTGTGTCATTCATGATTATATGCTCAGCTAGTTCACGGTAATTGCATCGCCGAATTTGGTGACTTAACAATTGTAAGAATACTTATAGCGGATCAATGTGATTTCGCGTGGTATATGTAATTTTCATTTCTGACCACTTACCAAACGCGACTGTAACACACAGCTGCGGCAAAAGGGACAACCCCTGGAGTAGGAAATCTTCACCGAAATGGCTTCGTGTTGGACGGTTTTCCTCAAACCAGCGGACAAGCAATGGCAATGGAGAAGTGCTTGACAGGCATTGATTTCGAAGCACAGGAGGCCAAAAATGCCAAAGCTTCTAAAATTGCCCCTCCTCCTGAACCTGTAAGTGGGTTCCTGAAAGGTGATTTGTATTGAAAGTGCTTTGTCTCAGATTTGACTGGAAGTGGTTGGTTGTTGGTTAAAATTGTTCGAGAGTAAATATATGAAGGTGTTGGAATGACAAGTTCCAGGCTATCACAATTATGGCAGTGTCGTGTTGCAAGAATAATAGCTTGATTTAAAGAACTGTTGTGAATTCGCTTCGTGTTGTGAATTGAACTATGTAAGGTTTCAAAATGATTGATCAGGGAGTTCGACAGCTAGAAAAATCAGGACTTGATGCTTATCTTGTAATTGAATCACCTCCTGAGGATGAGGTCTTAAGGAAATTGTCAGCCAGTGTTATTGACCCTGCAATAGGATGCAATTATCATCCACTGACAAATCCTGTACCTCCAAATGATAAAACGTAAGTTACAATTGCTCTCTCTATCAAACATCTAATCAATGAGCTATGATTGTAGTCAGGATTACCCCCACTTCAAGTGCACTTAAGAATTATTTTTTAAAAATTTCGAATTAAACTGAGAATTGACTCGTACCTGTCTAACAGTGGGATTGTGGAGCGCCTCCAACCAGTGGAATCTGTGGAGGTGATTCGTGCAAAACTTGCTACTGAAGCTGAGATAACTCGAGATTGCTTCAAGATCTTGCGCAGGTTTGACAATTTGCTTAACGTGCCGCAACATCTTGGTGAGAACGGAATTATGACTCCAGAAGTTGAGCATGCAATGGCAGCTATTAACATATTAATCAACAGCAAAGCTAGATATAAGGCAATACAAAGTGCAGCTGATGCTGCAAAATCGGCGGTCGAAGTGGCAACTCAGGTGATCTTGCTTAGCTGTATTTAATTGTCTTTATGTGGATTTTTCTCAAATTAAGAATGTTCAGAGGTGTGAGCCTTGAAATGGCACGTGAATTTTTTTGGTTAACAAGAGCTTCGATTTCTTGTTAAGCTTTGATGTCTAAATAAGTCAGAAAATAATGCGGCTGTAAACAAAATAATAATACATGATTTAATGATTTTGAATAAGGTAATTTTTTTTTGGAATTCATTGAGGGATAGATTATTTTGACATTATGTTATGCAATGCTAAAAGTTTGAACGTCCCTCTGAAGAGCACTTGAATTATAGCGTTGAGAGTCTATAAAATGTGTTAGTACACTGAAAGTGCAATCGTCTTCTGAATTGCACTTTGCGGAGTGAATATGTGATTCAAATTCTCAACTCATCTTCCAAAGAGTTACCGAATGCATGCTTCCATGATCCTTGTAGTGTTGATAATATTTTAAATCGCAATACAGGCAAACCAGGAAGTTGAAACAGCCAGCAATGCAGCGAAGGAAATGGCTAAAGTTTTCTTCAATGCAAAGCTGGCAGAGGTGAAGGCAGAGGTGAAGGCAGAGCAAGCGATCGCTGCCAGAAGTGAAGCGCCATCGATTACAATTTCTAGTGAGGCAGCTGTAAAAATGCTTGATGAAATTACCAAAGCTGTGCAAGGGGCCCAAGATGCTGCAGCAGCTTCGTTAGCCGCAGCTGAACAGGCTCAGAACCACGCTCATGATTCTCAGGTAACATACAATCAGGCATTGAACTTGTAAATACCTTCGTGCTGATTAAGAGAATACGTGTAAATGTAGGGTGATGCGCTCTACATTGCAGTCATTAACGGCATGTCGATTGCATTTGCTGTAGCATTGTACAAAAAAGATGCATTTGTTAGTTGACAAGGTGTGCGTGAATCCGTTTTACTATGTTGTTTTTGACACAAGCTGTTTGAATCTGAGTAGATGATTGAAGGGGATCCTCAGGCATCTAATATTTCCCAAGAAGAAGCAGAGAAAGCACTAGCGGTTGCCAGAGCGGAAACAGCTAAGGCTGCAGCTGCAAGTGCAAACGCTTCTGCTCTCTTAGAAAAAGCTAAGGCTATGGCTGCAAGTGCAAAGGCTTCTGCTACCTTGGTGAAAGCAAAGGACAAGGCTGCAGGCTTTCGACCGCCAGCACTTCCTCCTTCGAATCGACCACCAGCAGCCGCTCCGTCGAATCGGCCGCCGCCGATGGTAAGCTTGGATGCATCTCGTCCAGAATAATTACGACATTCATGGTGAGTATGTCCAGAGTTTTACTGATCCACCTATCCTATTTTCTTAACAACTTACTATCTGGGATGACATGCTACAGAAAGAATCACCTGAGGAATTTGTGAAGCCTCCACCAGATCCAGTTCTGGTTGAGAAAGTGAAGAATGCAGGTAGAGTGTTTGTCTATCTGATTGCATTATTAAATTTCTAACAGTTCAATTGTCGTGAGAATATATTAACTTGTAAAGATATTGGATGTGGATATGTGATGCAAAATTTCATGTGTGGGAAAGTTTTGTGCAGAGTTGGTTCATGAGATCTGGGAAAAATTAGAAAAGAAGTATTTGGAGACAATACAAGAGGCATTTAGGCTCTTGATTTACGAACGTGAGCGCACAATACCGTTGCTTATTGAGGTAACTGTATTTCTCCTTCATCAGAATATGTATATCTTTATCGGTTGATATACTAACGCACCGTATCTTTACTCTTGACATTAAATAATTGATTGTGTCCATTCATTCCAGAGTTGGTGTATTTTCTTCCTTCAATTTGCGCAGTTATTGTGATTGGAAAGTTGATATATAGCTTCACAGTGATTTCATCGTTCAGAGAGAGCTAGTTTGAATTGTGGCAACACGCGGCGATCCATGAAGTCACTGTCAGGTCGTTACTAGGAGTCATCAGCCATCTCTCTTTAAGGTGTCTCGGTTATAGACTGTTTTTATGATTTGGGTGGTTGGAAATACAGTGGTCCCAATTTTTAGACTTAAGTGTGGTATGAACAGCTTGAGAAATTTTGTGAAGAACAGAGCTACATTGGAAACGTTTGAACTGTTTAACCATCTTTTATATGCATTTGATCAACCGCCTGAGCTGCCTACAGGTGAAAAGGAACTTCATTGCGCTGTTACAGCAGGATAATGGAAAGCAGGATCTCTTCGACGACTTTCAGGTTTTGTCTACATGGTTCCGTTTTACATCAGCTTTGAGCACATGCATGCAATATTTGCTGAGTTGCTTATATCAACTTTAGGTCATTGATGTGTTTGTGAAATAAGTTGTGAAATAAACTGATTTCATATAATTTGCTAGATACTTAACCTTAGCATATGTCCTTTATAAAAATAATGAAATCATTTCTTTTTTTCATAGGGTCGGTGGAATAGGATTGAACTGGGCCATCGGCGCAACAAAGTGATGAGAGCGAGACTGCATGAAGAGGGAAGCAGATTTGGAGAAACATTGCGCTCGCTCGCTCGGGAAAGGCTTCAGGTCTACCCAGATTTCATGACTTACTTGGCAGATAATGATAGTTATCAGCCGAGTAATTTGGAGTGGAGAATACTGTGGTCACATAAGACACTGACTCGCTGGCCTTGGTAATTGCTCGAAGTATGACCAAAGGCCTGCACTAAATTTCGAGTCAGCCTTCATCGTTGCTATTAATTTCGTTTTAAACGCAGAGTAACATTTTGGTAGTATTGAGAAACTAGTGGGTAGGGTGCCATTGCGGCTGGAACTCAGCAAAATTAGATTTCTCTACAGATAATCTTGACGTGCAAACCTTATGGAGAGCAGAGGACACCTAAGCCCTGTGTCCTCATAAATTGAACGATGAGGTCATTGTTTGATCCTCTTATTGTTTTGCGCACATATCTTCTGTACTGGTTGCTCCCTAGCTCAGTGGGTGGCTGTCTGATTTCTCATGTGCAGAATGGAAAAGATCTTGAGCAGCGGTATCTCGAGGACTTACTGGATGAACGAACTGAAACTTTCACCTATATTTTTACAATGCTGGTACAAGCAGAGGTACATTTGAAAATAGTAATGAAATTGTTGTTTAATTCAAGGTCATGTATCATCAGAATGTTTTCAACTTCATATACGAAGACTCAATGAATTACATGGTTGCACCTTTTTCCCTGCTTGAACTGAATCGTCACTATTTTTGGGTTATTCAATTATGATGTTTTTTGACTAGACACAATTTTGGGTGCATAAAACAGTTGGACAGGCATATCGAATCTTGTGGTTTATTACACGAACACTATACAAAAAGAGTTGGCTCTAGTTTTTCAAGCCAGTTTCGGTGCAGCTTGTCAAGTATTCGCAGACCGCCGGACTGGAGAGTTGGGACTCCAAGATGGTTAACACCTCTCGAAGGTTCCTATCCAGAGTTTTACGTGGTGACTAAAGCTATTTGACCGGAAATTTGAGCATATGTGTTCTTTCTTTTACGTACATTTTGAATGGTATTTGAGAGGTGCTTGCCCTTGTTAGCAAAATTACACCGTGATGATCACATTGTGTTTTTCGACATTTTTTTGTCAATTTTTGGAGTTCTCATGTGACGAACTATATGATGTATCTTATTTACTATAGGATTTGCAGTTCAATAGACTCTGAAGAGCAATGAAATAAGAAATGATCGTTGTTTTTAATTTGACTCATGAGTGTGTTATTCTTGAAGCATCACTATTTGAATATTTTTATGAATAAAAAACTCACCTAAAAGTTGACAAATTGATTTTGCCTGCAGGTTTTGAGCGAGGCCTTATCCAAGGCGGGCAACCTGCTGGATGTGATTGCAGGTAGAGATGGATGGGGCACGAAGACACACCCGCGGAAGCCAGTGACAAGAAGAATGAGTGGTCGTCGCTTGACGTGGATGCGAGAAGTAAATCCCAAGTCACGTGAAGAAGTACCGCTTGAACTTGATGTAGACCCCGCTATTGCCCGCGAGCATCAAATTTTTTCCTATCGCGTGGAACTCCTGGGTAGATTACTGTTCTTCACCCCATGTGAATGTCTGTCCGACATATCGTTGTCACATGAACAAATTTTTATTGATTTTATCAATTGCACAATTGTTTTTGCAGCAAGGACTGCATGCAAGTATCTAGCGGAATTGCAACCAATTTGCGATGGTGCTTATGGTCATTTGGATGAATGGCTCATGAGGCGTTGTGATGTATGACTCTGACTCCATGCAGAAACCCAAACCTGAACTAGATGTTTAAGTTAGCATTGATTCTTCGTCTTTCTGATTGCTAGGGTTCCTTCCTGGCTCCTATTATCACGATAGTCTTTGTGGGCTGTGGTGGGACGAAAATACTATTAGTTTTCACAAAACTCTTATCTTAGCTGTTTCAACGTCCTGTTATTGTAACCTTGACCACTGGAATTGGAGAGATACCTGTAATTGAACAGGATACGATTTGAAGTTCTTCTTTCCAGTTTTTTTTATAACGAGCCTGTGAGATTTAACGTTGTTATTAATATTTTATCCAATTTTTTCTTATCAGCATGAATCTGCTTTAATTGAAGATGTTCGATCTGTTATTATCGAGGCTGCAGAGGAATGTATCCCATTGTGGTATCGAGTATGGATGGAAATTGATGAATTTAAAGTTGAAGAAGAACAAATCACCACTGTGAGTGTTATTCTATGACCTGACCAGGTTTTAGGGCTTAGGGTTTAGAGTGGCATTGATAATTTGTCATTTGTCTATTTGCAGATGGTGCATGTTCCTCCTGAGCCTATCATTGACCTTACACCTTGGCACATAAAAGTGATGGAATCACTTAGTAACAAATTCAAGGCGTTTAATGGTAACAATGTTTCACCAATCCAAACATCAATCTAAGGTTTTAACTCCATATTACAAGGTTCTCAAGACAAGTAAAGAATTTTTGTTGTGATCCTTAATAATGGTTTCTAGTGTGAATCTGCGAATAACCAATTTGAAAAACAACCTCAGCATTAGAAACGCATCCATTTTATTACTCGTGCTTCCTTGCTTTGTAGGAGACTTTGCTACAACGCAAGAGGTTACTCAATCAACCTTGTCTGCAATTGACGATGTTTACCAGATGTGGAGGAATCTTCCAGAACATAAGATCTATCCTCGACTTCCTCGGTATAAGAGTAGGCGTTACGGGCATTTTCAGCATTGGGCGAATCTGACTAATGATATTGTTGAGGTGCTTGTGCATCAGAAAACGTTCAAACTTGATTACGTTTAGAAATTTTCGATTTGTTGGAACAGAAGCAGCTAGAATATCCCTCGTACAGTGATGTGTCGATCCGTAGGTTCATTCTCATCTTGAGATGTAGACACTAACACTGTCGTTGAGGATTAATAGATTTCAGAAATCATAATAAATAGTTGGACTTATAATGTTGGTGTGCAGCAATCATGTGGAAATGAAGATCCAGGAATTTCAACTGTTATTCAATGGCAACCCTTCCTTGTATCTCTTGCGGATGCGCATTTTGATTACATCATTTCAGCAGCTACATTAGAAGATATTGTACAAGCTCGCACTGGTACTTGCCTTCACACTATCTCTGCTTGTGCTTGATTACCGCGATCCGCCCACAGGGAATTCTAGTGGTTGAACAGAAGTTTGTCTCTTTTTTTCAATTTCTTCACATTCATCTACCTTTGGGTGGTTCATAGCTGTTTGACATCCATAGTTTATCGTAATGTTACCAGTAACTATTTCTTAAGGATATTGACAATTGGAAGCCTGCCTGTAGCATATCCCTTTTAGAAAATGAATGTTGTGTTATATGACATAAATTGAGCTCATTTGTTTTAGATTTCTTTATGGTGGTGGCAACAAAGCAGCCAGGACATCCATCTGAAGGATGCATCACATTGGACGACTTTTTGAATATTAAAATGTGGTTTGATAGGGAAGACTTTGGTAAATGATGTCTTGCAAACCATATATGAATTTGATATCTCTAAAGGAGTGTCTACATTGATTTTGAACTTACAAGCAGAATTTATGTGTTGTATGCCACGGATGAAATTCTTAAGTATGTTTTGACAGATGAATACTCAGATTACGACACAAACAATGACGAGGATGCAGCCATGGCGGACAATTATAATCTTTCAAAATCATTAAAAATTTATATTTTTTCTGCATTGGAAAGATCCAACCAACGATACCAGTACAAGACTGTTGGTCTCCCATGGCAGACGTTACTCTTGTATCTTTGCCGAGATGCATGTTTGGAAACCGCACTCCGCAAAGTCTTCACTGTGATTGCCAGCACTATGTAAGGCAATTATGGTTTACTGCTCGAGGCACAATCTTTCAAGTTCTTAAATGACAACTAAATTCAGTTTGGACACAATCGCAAGACATTGACTTCGTTCTTGAAGTTCTCCGTTGTGCCAATGCAGGTCTCCGGATGAAGCACAATTGAACCCAACGGAGTTGATCCAAGCACTATATCCAAGTGGAATTGATGGTGCCATAGACGCTGGATGCATGACATGGACCATTGAGGATATTAAGGTACTTCATACGACTTGTAATCCATGTTGTACTTGTCTGCAAGACTTAAGTCGTAAGTAAGTCTAGAAATAACTTAGAAGTAGAGCATTAAGATTATTTGTTCTCCTTGGCTAGTACACAATATGCACTACATAACTAATGAATGAGTTGTGTGCGTGGAGCTTCAGGACGTCCTATTCAAAGCTGATCTCGAGAAAGCTACACCTGCCAAGGAGCCTCGGACGTTGCTGTCATATGTTAGCAGCGATACTACGCCAGCATATGAAAAAGTAATCTTTCCATTGCCAACCTCTTGACTTACACTTATTTTGATTCCACCCGAGTTTTATTAAAAGAAACCTTGATCGGCATCTGGTCAATAGTAACTTGGTATGTACGTGTTGAACCCACACTAGCAAATATAATCCTCGCCGGTGAAAGAGATGAGAATCTGGTGTGGACCCAACACTGACCAAGCCCATACTTGAAACTTGGCTTCGTGCAGGACACCATATCCCAATTCTTCGACAGTCGAAGCAGCAGCCACCAATCGCAGATGAGTGAGTTCGAGCAGGGTTGTACACGCGAATTTCTGTCGAACGCTATGCTGGATTCTGTATCCAGCAAGGAGGGAACAGTGACTCCATGGCAAGAATTGGAGGAGCATGAGCTCACAGACGCTCCGCCGCAGCAGCAGCCTATTCCTGCTCGGCTCACAGTGGAGGATTGTGTGAAGTTGAGTGCCACTGCTAAGCTATGCAGCTCTCTGGCTGCCATCTTTCGACAACATTCTGTGAATGTCACTCAAATTGCATCAGACCGAAAATGACTATACCTCTCTTTGTTTGATTTTGTGGTCACACCCACCCAACTTCGATCGTTCTGACGGGTATTGATATCTTCGTCTCCGATGTGAGGTTGGAAGCTGGATGTCTGTTGATTTATGTTGTTTTGTATAGTTTTGTGTAGTTTTTGTGCTTGTATTCCGGACTTGTGGTGGCTTTCATTCTCGCATGGCTCTCTTATGAGCTTGCTTTTTATACGATTCGTTTATGGGAAAGAAGATTAGATGATTTTTATAATTATGTGTTTTAGAAATCATTTGTATTTGTTGAGAATGTTTAGAAAGACACAAGAGTAATAGTAAGTCATACACACAATAGGATTTCTAAGGAGAGAGAGCTTCATACATAAAAATTCTATTGATGATGATAAACAATACTTCTCTACTAGACTCTAAATATTGTAGCTACAGTATTTATTGTAGTCTACAATAAATATTATGGAGAGCGTCGATTACATTTAATGATCTCAACACTCCTCCTCGCTTATCATAATATTTACATAATATAAAATTTGTATAGAATTATGATCTATACTTTTCTGTGATCTTTCAAGATCAACAATTGTTGCTTCATTAAAACCTTATCTAAGAAAATCTTATTATATTTAAGGACAAAACCATAGATGAAGGAAAAAGAGTACAACATCATTTTTTTTAATTATTTAAGGAGCTCATTAACTTTCTTATTCAAGAAAATCAAGTCACCGCATATCAATGCCATAAGTAAGTCGATGATGGTTGCACAATGGGAGAGCTTTGGCGAAGAGATTAGCAAGGTTATTTATAAATTCAATTTTCTTAATTATAAGTGTTTGATTAGTAATCAACTCATGGGTATAACTAAAATACTTTGGATCAATATGCTTAGTCCTGTTGCCTTTAATGAAACCAACTTGCATTTGTGCAATACAAGCACTGTTATCTTCATGCAAGATAGTTGGAGAATCATCATATGAAAATCCACAGGTTGTTTGAAGGAATTTATCAATTGATCGCAACCAAATACATTCTCGAGATGCTTCATGTAAGGCAATAATTTCTGCATGGTTGGATGAAGTTGCAGTTACTGTTTGTTTTACTGATTTCCATGATATTGTAGCTCCATGTTTTAAAAATACATATCCTGTTTGAAATTTAATTGTTGCAGTATCAGATTTATATCCTGCATCACAATATCCAACCAATTTTGGATTTACTGATTGTATGTAGTATAATTTCAAGTCTTCAGTACCTTTTAAATAACGTAATAAATATTTGATGTCATTCCAATGTCGTAGTGTTGGACGTACACTATGTCTTGCAAAAATACTAACTGCAATTGCAATATCTAGTCTTGTAAATGTAGTTAAATACAAAAGTACTCCAACTACTGCGAGGTATGGATATTGATCTCCCAATATTTCCTCCTCCTCCTTCTTACATGGACCGTATGGATCATGACCATCACGACCATGTCCAACCATTAGTGTGGACAATGGATAAGCATCAATCATATTAAATCTTCACAAGATTTGTCTAATATACATTAGTTTGTAGAAAAAAATACTACCATCTATTAGATGCATAATCTGAAGACCAATGATGAAAGTTGTTTTTCCTAGCATTTTCATTTCAAATTTACGTATAAGTAGGTTAGTAGCTGTAATACATGTAGATGTAGTGTCCACTAGGTTAAGATCATCAACATATACAACAATGATCACAAAACCAATTTTATCTCATTTGATAAACAAACTAGGGATTAGTGGATCACTTATAAAATTATTTATAATTAAATAATCTCAAAGATATTGATACCACATGCGTCCGGATTGTTTTAAACCATACAAGGCCTTACATAATTTAATACCACGATATAGTTCTGGAGTGGGTCGATGTGGAGTTCATGTTTCTAAGTCATGTGGAACTTTCATATAAATATTTGCATCAAGAGAACCATATAGATATGCAGTTACTACATCCATCAGATGCATCTCAAAGGTGGCATGAACTGTCATTCCAATAATATATCGAAATGTAATTGAATCCATGACTGGAGAATATGTGGATTCATAATCAATGCCAAATTGTTGAATAAATCCTTGAGCAACAAGACGAGCTTTATAGTGGATTATTTGGCCTTAAGCATCTTGCTTGCATATTAATACCATTTTATATCCCACAGGGCGAGATGTAAGAGTATCTACAATTAGACCAAAGACTTTCTTCTTACGCAAATAGGCATATTCCTCTTTAATAGTAATTTTTTTTATTTTGACCAATCAGAGCGATGCATCGCCTTCTCGATGGTTTGAGGTTCAGGATCGTCTTCCTTGGAAGAAAAGGCTTTTATAATCATATATGCAAATGATTCATCTACTGTAATAGATGGTCTATTCCAAATATCATTTGTAGTACAATACATAATAGATAATTCTTTACTCAAGTTGTTCTTATTCCTTCCAATTCCAAGATTGTTTTTCATAGGAATTGAAGGTACATTGTGCATGGATATATCATCATGAATTCATAGTCCCGCAAGATGACTGACAATTTCTTGAGAAATAATACCACAATTAGTCAATTTTATAGCTTTCTTCTTACGTGGTTGTTCTTCTCTTCCACGAATTCTTTTAGTTGTTGTTGTTATAACTTGAGGTATTATAGTCAATGACACTGCAATCTGAGCAGGTGCATTCTGAGCCTCATTAATAGGAACTCTTGTAATTCTAGGTACATCATTGAAGCCATCAGATGTTTCATCTAGGATCTGTTTTAGATGCAAAATCTTAGCAACTTCAATTTTTGCCAAAAATGTCCTAAGATCAAAATTCATTGTAAACGTTTTTGGTGCTTCAAATATGAGTACTGTATTTCTTTGTTGATTAGATACTCTTTCTTGAAGAGATGGGAATACATTTTCTTCAAAACGGCAATTTTATAAACATGCACGTAATAATGTGCCATTTGATGGATCAACAATACAAATAATGCTTGGTGAATCAAAACCAACATATATGCCTTCTTATCGATGAGCTCCAATGGTATGTCATTGAGGTTCTGGTATTGGAATCCAAGCACGGCAACCAAATAGTCGTAAGTAAGATACATTTAGAACACGACCCAAAATGAGCTCATGTGGTGAAACAATTTCAAGAAAAGAAAGGCAGAGGCGTATTAATGGTGTAGTATGTAAAACTGCATGACCCCACATAGATGCAGGTAAATTTGCATGAAAGAGGAGTGGTTGGATAATGAGTTGTATATGCTTTATAAATGACTCTACAAGTCTATTTTGAGCATATTCATATAGAATACAATATATCAATTCAATTCATGTTGTAATACAATAGTCTTCAAAAGACTTTGATGTGAATTCTTTTGCATTATCCATACATAATTTTTTTATATGATAATCAAGGAAATATACCTGAAAATAAATAAGCATAGATATAAGATTGGCAAACACCATGTTTCGAGTTGATAATAATCAAACATGTGATTGTTTACCTGATGCATCAACAAGAACCAAAAAATAACAAAATGGTCCTAATATTGGATTAATAGGACCACAAATATTACCATGCAATCTTTTAAGCATTGGTGGTAATTCTTGTGGAAGTTTTCAAATTGAAGGCTGAGTAATCATTTTAACTTGCACACATACACGACATAATTTCATAGAATCTACATCCGTAGGATTTAAATTGTGCCCAGTTATACATAGAATGATCTTTCTAAATAATGTGGATCCTGGATGTTCCAATTGTCCATACCAGAGAGAAACACGATTCTTTGTGATAGATGATGCAAAATCAAATATAATGGGAGGCCAAATCACAATTCGGTATAAACCATTTTGTGTAGCAAAAGCTTTTTTAACAACTTTATCCTTCTTCATAAGAACCAAAACCTCTTTTCTATTTAAAGTGACGGTCGAGAGGTGATAACCATTAATACATACATTTCAGTAGTTGATCAAACTCCGAGGTGCTGAGGGTGCAAACATCGCATGTTTACAATTTATGATGGAACCCGCAGGTAATTTTACCATCGTTGTGCCTTCTTGGAAACAAAATTCATTTGTTCCAGCCATGATCATCATATTTTTAGTTTGCCAAGTTGAAGATTTTTGAATAAAAAATCGTCTATCTTGTAAGATAGTATGTATTGTTGCAGAATCAATGAGTGCATCATTAGAGGTTTTGTCATTCATATAAGCCTCTAAGTCATCAACACCAATTGAATCCATTGACGCATCTATGGTATGAACTTCACGAGTCTCAGCTCATAGTTTCTTATTTTCTTGGAATATTTTAATAAAATATTCTGAAATACGGCATGGATGTGCTAAATGTCCAATCATTCCATACTTATGACAAGAACGTATCTCTGATTTTTATTTTCTACTATAATTAATAGTAGACCGTTTATTCTTTCCATATGGATAGAAATGGTCATGACTATGACTACCGTGATACTTATGAGCACGTTTTCCATGTTTATATAATTTCTTCTTAGACTTTAAAATATTAAGTGCATGAGATTCTGGAACTATAGTTCTAATAGGATAAGCTTCCGCATTGCGCAAGAGTAGCTCATTTTGCTTCACTGCAAGAAGTAGATAGGACATGAGATTAGAATAACTCTGAAATTTCATGTTCATGTATTGTTGTGCAAGCACAATAGATATAGAAAGAAATGTAGAGAGAGTTTTTTCAATCATTTCTTCTTCAGAAATGCTTTGTCTATATAATTGTAATCATAATTGTAAGACAATACTATACATTTTACTATTGAAAGCATTTAAATTTGGAAAATCCAAGACACATAAATGTGTCCAATTATAATGTGCACGTGGAAGAAAAATGGTCTTTTGATGATCAAAACTGGATTTAAGATTCTTTCAAAGTTCTATAGGATCTTCCATTTCTAAATATTGATGTTGTAATACAGGTACAAGATGACAACGAAGAAGAAGAAGTGCTTTCCAATGAATAGCAGGAGGTATAGAAATACTTATTGTAGGAGATTCTTCAAACATAATGGTATCCGAGAGTTGTTCTACAAATAAATTTACTTTTGCCATTTTTGTCCATAATAGATAATTGTTTCCATCCACAGTCAATGGTGGAAATAAAAGAGCTTGAAAATATTGGGATGCACTAGTAATAGTTGGAACCATAGTAGAAGCAGTTGAAGATGTTGAAGCACTCATTATAAATAAATGTATAAAGAAAATATAAGATCAAATAAAAA